CGTTGTTTAACATCAACATCATTACATTCAATCTAAGCAACAGTTACTTTTTTCCCTGGTCATAAAGTTGACCTGGATGTTGAAAAGGTGAACACTGTGAACATAATTAGACAGCAATCGGAACAGAGAAATCATCACACAACAGACAGACTTTCTCAGCGCTCATAAAAAAAAACTGTCACCGTAATCATAAGAAGAACGTCGTTGCCATTGTCGCTGGTGAAGTAGACTAATTAAGAGTAGCGTAAAGATACAAAAGAAATTTCCTTAGTGATTCTGAGTCGTTTACAGCTCCTTTTCCCGACATTATTTCTGCGCAAAGATTCTCAGCAACAAGAAGCGCTTGGCAAGGAAGGCGGAGGAGGGGATGGAAGGGGAAGGGGAAGGCCAAGGATTGGCGACTGAGGCGTACCGGCAGTCAAAGGCGCTGCACCGATTCTTATGGAGCCCCGCCCACTCGGAGCAGTATCAAAATTCTTGTTGCCACCGCAGTTAAGTCCCCCATTCCATTCTTCCATCTATCCATCATCTATCTATAGGCCTATCTATTTACCTATTTGTCTGTCTATCTACCTTACACTTCACTGTTTCATCAATTAGTAATGACAACTGAGTTTACTCCAAAACTTCATATTTCTTTTAATTATTGAAAAAAGTAAAATCCAAAGAAGAAAATCCTTTTTTTTCTGCTTCCTTAACCTTTCTTTTTTTATCATATTGTTATATTCATTTTACATCAAAATCATTTAGTTAACGCCAACCTGCTGCAATTCTGCTAATAACTTCGTGTGACATATCTGTTTTAGAATTTTGAACGCTCAAAAACCTACTGCAGCTTAACACTTTACTGTATAAAAAATCTTAACTACATTTTAGACAAGGTATATACACACTGATCTTGTTATATCAAATATTATTAAAAAATATGCAATATAAAAGAGAGATTGTCATAAACAAGAAAAGTAGCACTTTCACTCATTACGCAAAAAAAAAAAAAAAAAAAAA